AGCCAGCCCTTACTTTTAGAGCCTCAGATTTTGGGATCCGATATTTGAAGAGTAATTAATTGTTTTGCCTAAAATAGTTAATGTACAATAATATGTTCCTGTTTGAGCACGGCATGAACTTAGGATTATATATTCTCCCAGGCACATTCTCCTTGGATAAAACCCATTCATCAGATCCAAAAATTTGAGAACGTAATTTCCTCACATTAGCGTGAGAACTCAAAAAGCAAAATGCAATAATAAAATAAAAAAAATACTTTGTGCTTACAAAACTTGTGTGATAATTGTAAGGTAGTCTCCTCATTATCATAATCTTTTCTCAATTAATTAGGGTAGACAAGCTATAATGGTATGTTAGTCTCCAGAATTATAACTAAAATTTATCAAAATACACCTTAATTTAAAACTATATAACATTTTTATGTTGGTGTAATTTTAACAAATTTAATAACGCATTTTAATTTACTATTTGATGGGCTATTTGAAATTCTTTCAAAGGAACGATGAATAATTTGAAATTGGTAAAAAAATACAATTAAGATGTTATCATAAATGTAATTGATGATCAATCAGTCTCTTACTGTACTAATTTATGTTACCTGGATAATTGATGATTAATCATGAGTCTCTTTACTGTAATAATTTATGTTACCGGGATAATTGATGATTAATCACGAGTCTCTTGCCGTACTAATTTATGTTCGCTGGATGCTATTTCGAGGGATTACTACGGTAAGTATATGCCGCACCATCCGGTGCGGGAGTCCCCATGGAGTGCAATATTCCAAACACGAGGACGAGAGGAGTTTCTTTAATGGTTTTTTTTTATCTCTCATAAAGTTTGAAAACTTAGTGATCCGGATCGGATTTTTACTTACCCTATTCTGATCTTATAATATATCGAGATCCGGCCTAACCCCCAAATTGGTGGGTTTGGATTGTAGATGTTTCAATATCTTAAAAATCGGTGATCTGGATCAAAACCAACCGATTCGGATCAAGTTTTAGCTAGGCCAATTTGGATCTTCTAAATTATCAAGATTCGACTGGTTCCCCTATGGTTACCTCCAGTCCGGCCGGTTCTGTCAGAGAAGACCGGTTGATAACTGGTTCTGGCCCGGTTCCACAAAAGACCAACCGAGATATCCTAATTCCTACATTTATTTTTGGGAAAATATCTTTGTACAACCCATTTTGGTGTACCATTTCCCATTTTCATATACCATTTCCTAGGCTTTTAAAAACTTTATGATGGCATATATCTAGAAAATATTTCTAACCCCTTGTTCCCAATTTACCTATTTTGACAGCTCTTTTTTTTGCTCAAACAAAAATTAAAAAGACACATCTATATGTCTACTAAACCTCTCTCTATACATCTTTATTTTTCTCTCTATACTACTGATTTTTGTTGTTGAGACATTATATATAGAGATAAAGATGTATATGGAGATACAAATTTAGTAGACATATAGAGGTGCCTTTTTAATTTATGTTTGGGCAAACCATGATGAGTTAAAAATGATAAATTGGGTCTAAAGGCTAAGAAGATATACTTTTTTGGGTCTAAAGGATTAAAAGATGATTTTTTAAAAAAAAACCTATGCCGCTAGAAAGTTTCTAAAACCCTCAATGGGGAAATGGTATGTATGAAGATATTTTCTCCTTATTTTTTGTTTTCATTTTTCCTACGTCATATTTACTATATAAAAGTGGTCCCACCACCTATGTATGTTTTCTTCTTCTTACTTCATATTTTATTGTGGATGAGGTTTCTAGGAAGCCTAAGCTATATGAAAATAAAATAAAGCCTCAACACAAATCCTCGTTCGGAAAGCACTTTTGGCAATATAAATCTACATGATGGTATTTACGCTCCGACCTGTGATGATCTTTGGGATGAGATCTGTTCAAATCTTAGCAAAAACTGAGTTATTTTTTAAAAAGGTAGAGAAAATGTATCGTTTGAATTATGGGCTCAGAAAAATCCCATTTCTATACAAATATGGCAAATCCGGTCTTTTTCTGAGTCCACTGGCAGCGCTAGCTCAAAATCCAAATTTTGACCTAAAATGTTTTTAAAATTTAATTAAATCTTATAATAAATAAATTTCTAAAAAAAATAAAATAAAACACATAATCAAATGAAGAAAAACAAACTAAATAAAGCAAAGAAAGATATACTTACCTCTAGAAACCCAAAACCCAGAGTTTCGGGCTTGAAAATGCCGCTCTACTTATTTACACCACCATCTCTCCTTTTTTTTTTTTACCTTTGCTTGTTGGAATAAGTAGATCTAAAGTTCTTTGACCTAGATCTAGAGTTCTAAGGCATGGGAAAAAGCTGTGATTTTTAGATAGGCTCTACCTAGGCTTTTCTAGGGATTGGAGAATAATTTTCTTAATTTACTTAGGGTTTTGAGATATCTCTACTAAGGCTTTTCTAGGGATTGGAGAAGAATTTCCTCAATTGTCTTAGGGTTTTTGGAATATTTAGTTGAATATGAATTTTGGGATTTTCTGTGATTTTTGGAGATTTTTCCTAATTTTTAGGGTATCTCTACCTAGGCTTTTCTAGGGATTGGAGAAGAATTTCCTTAGTTTTTTAGGGCTTTGGAATATCTAAATTTTGAATATGAATTTTGGAATTTTCTGTGATTTTTAGAGATTTTTTAAATTTTTTTAGAAATTTTCTAAAGGTTTCTTCTATTTTTTGGTATTTTGAGGCTATTTTTATAATCTCAAGAATTTCTAACGGATTTCTTGATCTCCTTTCTTAGTCTCTTTTTTGGGTTATGAAGAGGACGTATTTATAAGATTCAATTGGTGATATTTCTTGATTTTTTTAGAAAATGTTTTGGAATTTTTTGAAATTATCTTAAAGTTTTTGTCTTATCTAATTAAAGAAAACACTTTTACTGCATCATATAATTCATTTACTGTCTCATCAAACACTACTGCATCATGAAGCCACGTCTGGGGCTGCAGGGCCGAGTTGCGGACTGGCTAGTGGCCCGATACTTGGTCTCACAGGGACTAAATTGTCATTTGTTAGATTGTTTTATCCGTAAGTCAAATTCATGTGATTCTTAGACCGTTGGAAAAAATAAATTGTCCTGTGTTAGATCATTTTATTTGTAAGTCGAATTTAAGTGATTCTAAGACCGTTAGAAAATCTCAGACTTTACTTTAAGTTGGCATAGTTTTTGACAATTTTGGAGCAATTATATTGGGTCTAAGTTGCTTATGATTTGCTAGGGTTTGTGTGGTCCTTCAGGCTCATAATCGAGGTTTTTAGAAGTTCACTTACCTAAAATTTCGAAGGGGTATCAATGGCTCTGCAATCAATTTCTGACACCGATCGTAAATTTTGAAACTAAAAATATGGTATAGCTCCTGTGGATCTTTGAACACTTATTTTTAAGGCAAAATGGACTGTCAAGATAATTTAGTAATACACTATTTTTAGAGCTTCAAATCCTAATTTTTTTCACTACCATAGTATTCAATCCGAGATGATCGATTTAAAAGATTACCAATACTTGAATTGCAATATTCGATGAGTTACAAGGTGAGCCTTTATTGATTTTGATGGAGCAGCACCCCTATCAAATCATTTTCGTTTTAGAGAAAGTATGGAATGAGACCATTTATCTTTGATACAATGGGGTCACATTAATCTTAACCATTGGATGTGAAATTAGGTGGCTGCAATTATTCCATTGACCAAGCTCAAACTTTAAAGGAAATTTTTTCAAACTTTGTGACACATCCAAGCTATCAAATTTCTCATCAAATGATTGTAAGGAATTGTGTGACCACCTTGTATCAAAAGTAAATAATTTCATTATATAAAATTTCTTTTTTTTTATAATATAAAAGTAACCCACCACCTATATATATATATATATATATATATGGGGTGCGGTTTTTATAAAACAGAGGATCTAAATAAATCACGCTTTCAAATAGTGTCAGGGAAATGTGATTTCATTATTCGAAAATAGTGTCAGATAGGGACCTTGAGGGAAATTTTTAATTGCAAATTTCAAGGATGCATCATTACTACCGAATGAGTGATTTTTTTTAAAGAAAAAAGAGAATTGATTTTCAATTCTTAACGGCTTAGATCTAAAATGAACGGACAGTGATCACATAATTTTCTCTCCCCTAAAGGATGCTATTTTTCTATTTTCTTTTTTTATTTTTATAAATAGTTCATAGGCGGAGCGTATGGGCAAATATGGGTCAAGCAAATCCATTTAAGTCAGTCATTTTAAAGAAGGTCATATTTGCCATTACCATCTTTTATGATTGTTTCCATCCGCTTCTCCAAAATTTCTCTCTACTCGACGATAAAAGAGAGCACTTTTTATTGAGGCGTCAAACTTGTAATACAGGAATGAGGGGCTGTTCAAAAACCCATAAAAAAGGTTTGTTTCAATGTTAGGAAATTTTCCAATTAATTATATGGACTTCCGGATATTGGATATGTAAAAAAAAAAAAAATTTGAGATTTAAAATAATGCATTTTGTAACATATATTAAGTGAAATGTCTATTTTTATTTTTTCTACATGTTTATAGATTTGTTCAATTTGAGTTTCAAATTTTATAATCAAATTTTACAATTAAAGATGGAAACGGATTTTGAGGCAACGGTAGAAGTTTTCAACGCCTAAAATGCATTTCCTACGTGCCTCTTGCTTTGATTATTTAAAATGGGCTAAAAAACAAGGGGCACCTTATATAAACGTCACCGTATACGTCTCAGTACTATTTATCTTTGGATCACGATTGTATTTTGTTGTGTTTTGTAAAATCTGAGAGTTTGGAGCGTATCACAAAATTTGAAACTTTTTATTTGAATATGTGATTGATTGTTACTAAAAATGAGTGTTGTCTTCTTGTACTAAATATTTGATATTTTTAGACAATTTGGCGACAATGATGATGATGAGGTTATTCAAATAAAAAAAAAAAAGGAGGAAGTTTGAGGGGTTAATAGGACATCAAAAAATTTATTTAAAAGCGAGGGACTATAGAAATACTATGGTACAATCCCAAAATAGAGGCATTCCCATTTCCCAGGCATTCCATGGAAATATGGTCACATGATTTATTCATTAACTTGGAATGAGGTGCTCCTTCTAGTGGCCCAATATTGTTTGATCTCCTCTGCTGTTCGACCCGGGATTCTCCCTGCAATCAGAGTCCACCTGTAATCAAAAGCAAATAAGAGAGAGAAAATAATATCCCTTTAGCTCCTCAAATCTAATTGTATACAGTTTAGAGAGAGATAAGCTGAACAAAAGGGTAAAGAGAGAGAGAGAGAGATTTAAAACAACCTTTCTCCTAGAAGCCTAAACATCCTGATAATCAGTGCTTCTTCATCTTCTGAAAACTCGAGGGATCGATCCTGGATGGTTTCCTCTGAAACAGAACCAAAAGACCCATGTTAATTTGTAAAACCGATGATGATCCGTTCATCTAGAGAGAGAGAGAGAGATGAGGGTAATTCTCTGTTGGGTACCTTGAGATTTATCTGAAATGTCATAGGATGACTGATCTGATTCGGTCATTCCCATAGCCCCAATCTCCTGATTTCCTATAAAACAGAGAGAGAGTGCATCGTAAGTTTGCAAATCCAAAGATGATCCATTCATCTAGAGAGAGAGAGAGATGAGGGTAATTCTCTGTTGGGTACCTTGAGATTTATCTGAAATGTCATAGGACGACTGATCTGATTCGGTCATTCCCATTGCCCCAATCTCCTGATTTCCAATAAAAACAGAGAGAGAGAGAGAGAGAGAGAGAGAGAGGAGG